TTGTATGGGCATGAAAATTTCAGAAAAGTCCCATCTTATACCAGGTAAAAACATACTAAAAATTCAGATCGGTCAAAGCCAGGATGAGGGAGAGGGGGTTTAATTTGTCGCCCCGAGGCCAATTTTGCTATTTTACCTCTAAAAAACCACAAAAATGCGATTATTTTTCGAGGAGCTCCGACAACCTATTTCGAAATTGCCCAAAAACCCATCAGGGGGTACCCCACTACAACCTCCAACTTGAATTTTTGATGTACAACAAAGTCGCATTTAAAGTGGGTTCAGGGGCACCGTGTTTGGCTAGACACGAGGCAAGCGAAGCGAGCCACAGCAGCTAGTTCAAAAATAACAGTAGCCTCTTCTCTTGATCAATTACAAACGTTCTAATAAGGCTGGAATTGAAAGAAAGAAAACTTATAAAATGTAACTTGTTTTAAGTTAATTACAAGCCTATTTCGTCGTATATAAATGAAAAGGAACGATCCAGTGTGCCCCTGGGATGGATGAGAGTACAGGCATAACAGGCACCATATCACAATGAAGAGTACACACATAACCGATACTATGTGGTTAATTCCCTGAAGAGCTCACAGACAGTGCCTCGACAGTGCAAAGCAGCTTGATAAAAAAGCACCATACAAAACACAAATCACGGTGAAATTTTGGGCTTGGGGGGACCGAAAAAAACAGTTATTATGACTAGCCTGACGTTGAACATCTTATGGCCAACACATTACCTATCTTGACTCAGATTAGTGATATCAGCTGTTTGCGTTTGAATGAAAGAGAACTATGAATTTTAATAATGTTTACAAGTACTTAATTTAGAGATGTATTTCAGTTCAGTACAGGATTTTGAGAGCACACAAGAAAAAGTTCCTATTAGATGATATGAGGCAAACTTTTCTGGATGAGATCATCTTTCAATTTCGATTAAAGTTTTTCTCAAATGTGCAACCTCTTTTTCTAAAACTTTGAAAAAGCACATTTGCGACTGGTTCTTGCATTTTTTGTTCCAAATGGTGCAGAATTAACTCGTTCATGTAGGGCAGGGCCTTTAGGGTGGAGCGAAAAAACATTTTTTTCGAAATCCAATGACGCCTAGTAAAAAAAAGGTGCCATTTGGCACCAAATGGCCGAGGAAAAAATCCTGGCTCGATAGGACAACGCTTTCATCGAAAACATGGGGCTCGAATTTTCAAAATCTCAAATATTCGATTTTACCGTGTTTTTTTTCTAAGATAATTTCTGGACGATTGAAAAGACACAACCGATACGTACTATATATGTTTTTATAGGTAATTTGAGTCAGAGAATCGATTTTTGTGGTTGAAAAAGCAATATATCGATTTTAAACATCGATTTTTGCGATATTTCGTCCAAAAAAAGGCGATTTTTGTATGTGTTTCCCAAGAAATTTCGATTTATCGATAGTAACCTTCGATAATTCGAAATTTTGACATTAAAAATAGATTCCTTGTGAAAAAATACATAGGGTGACGGATGTATACGTGCATGAAGCACGTAGAAATGTCGACAACTGAGGTACGATTCACACGAGTTTCGTGACTGAATTCGCTGATGGGCCATTCCACGCGAAATCGCCCAGGGACTGTTGCTTGACCGACCCCGATTTTTTTTATAATTTGGTTTTTTGTTAATTAATCCAATAGAAGCAGGAAAACCATTCTTTCACATTTGTTCGACCACCCTGGCATTCGTGGCGGTCTTGTGGAGCTAAGGTTATGAACTGAATTTCAATAAATCGCCCTTCACGAAAACGGGCGTATCTCCAGTTCTGTTTGACCTATAGAATCAAGATGCATGTGGATTGCGAAATGGCGAAACCCCCTATTTTGAGGATTTTTTTTTTTTTTTTTTACAGAGGAGAAAATTCTGATACCTAATATTTTAGTTAACATGCATTCAGAGAGTCCGCAAAAAAATGTCAGCCAGATGCGAGCTGTTGTTTTGTTGTAATAACACTTAATTCCCCGCTCATTTGTTAAAAAGCGCTGAAAAGGGCAATACTGAGAACGCAATTTCTCCGATGGGACGTACGCTCTAAAAATATGGAAATTGGAGGAATCATACATTATATAGAGGGAAAAATTTTGTAATAAACAAATCTGAATTATAGTCAAAAGTGTTCACCTGCTTCTACGTGTTTAGCACAAATTAACTTAGAAATGTGTAAGAATTCTCTCTTTTTACTCTAACTTTAGCTACATTTCGATTTACAGCGCCTCCAAGTCGTATTTTTACCGGACATTGTCTTGCGGATGGTCGCACGACCCAAAATATATGCATCTTTCTTCATTCATGCAACATTTGGAGTATTTTGAGGTGTTGAATATACTTTTGTTGCGATAATTTTATAAGAACTCATTACTACCTCTCAGATTTGGGATCGTTTGAGATCAGATTTAGGAGATCGTTTTCAATGCTAACATGCCGCACGATGGATCGAAATGTCGACGTTTTCCCCTCCCCCCCTGGCCACCTAGAGTTGAAACTATGCTGAACTGTGTTAAATTGTGCTGTTTACTTAAAATGAAACTGACAGTTTGGAATTTTTTCAGATTTGTCACTGTTCGCGTTTTAAAGGAACCTTAGCCGCAGGCCGCAGCTCCAGCTCGCTAAACCAGGCTAAGGTGATGGGGGAAAAGCGTGTTTGCGGAATTTTAGAGGAAAAACTGTCCTAATCACATGGGAAATGCAAAACGTTGAGTTTGTGGCCCAATTTTCAGATGCCGAGTGGCACCATATCGTAGGTCTCTACGATATTGCTTCATTTTGCTTTTACTTCTAGTTCCTTTGTCAGTTGGTCTAGAATCTCAATGGGGAGTACAAGGACCCTACATGATGATAGGATTAATATTAGGTTGGTCGATATTTTTCCCAACTTCACAAGTGAGATTATTCCCTGCAACAAATCTCATAAAAATGTCCTGCAGAGACAATGCCTTAAGCTGATAATTATCTCATTTCCTTTTCCTCTGCATTAAGTTCTTTTTTCCCTTACTTCGTCATGGTTATAATTTTCTTACCTTAATGAGATCAGCTGTTTTATTATCACAGTGAAATTTCAGCTCGTCGTTAATCTCGATAACAGTTCCACCCTCTCCATCGGATTTAAATTCAAACCCACCACCAAAAAACAGCAAAGACAGAGGGTACACCATTGATGTATCGTGTAGGAATATGGCTGTGCTTTGAATCTTCTGATGATATACTAAAAATCGAGACTCAAATTCACTCTGTTTTTCATTCACTGATTTGGGATGATGCTTTACATTTTCTTGCTCTGGAGTTCGGATAAATTGTAGACAATGGCCGGATTTCATGGGCTTCAAATCCCTGGAAAAAGAAAAAAATCTCATTGGATTAAGATGATCCATATCTGTTAGAATCCAAACCTGGATACCATTCAAACACGAATAAATTAGTTAGAACTAGTTTTGACAAAGTACGTTCGTAAAAACCCAAAGTTTGTTTAATTTAGGACTTTGACAGCTAGAATCAATCTAGTTTTAACAACGGACCATCGGTGAAAACCCGAAAGAAGAATCAATCTAAATTGCAGTTCATAGGAATGTTAGTTGTTCGGTTTCACCTACAAAATAATAATCATTAGAAATCCAATCACAGTGACGAACAAAATTAATAATCATTAGAAATCCAATCACAGTGATGAATCCGGGAGCAAAAAGTTCCGCTGAATTCCATTGGCCCCAGCCTCAGAATGAACGCGAGGCAGCGCACCAATCACGAGCCGCGCGCGGGCGCGAAATTCAAAACGTCCAAAACTTAGTCTCCACAGCGCCCGCCAAGTTCAATCTCGCCTAGCGGTGCTCCCGCGAAGTTCAAACTCGCATAGCGGTACTCCCGCCAATTTCTCACACAGCGCTCGCGTCGACCAATCACAGCCAAGCTCGCGGCAACGCTCTCTCACGCGACCGGTATAAATACTGGGACACTGCGCTCCATGATATCACTTCTAAGTGATGCGCCGTCCGATCAACACCCAGTCTCCAGATCCAGCCAAGCAGCGAAGCAAGCTAATCAAGACCTAGGAAACGAAGACTCAACCAAGTTCAAGCAGCAGCCAGAAAGGAATCTCGAACCCAAGTCAAGAATCAAGTTCCTCGAGCAAGGTCAAGGAGCGAATTTGGCGAGCAAGTTGAATCAACTCATCTATAGCGATCGGAGCGGCTAATCTCTCAGGGTCATCACGAAATCAACTTTAATGTTCCACTTTTGGCAGTCCTATCTAAATTCACACAGGAAAAAATTTCAAGACATCTCTAACTAAATTCACGTTTGTATCAAATCCTCCAACCGGAGAAGCCGATTCATTTATGAATCCGGAGTAAAAGTAAATGCAATAGCACAGAGTAGTATTCAAAATTTCAAGTCCTTCTGACTTTCCTGCTCAAAGCAGAAGCCGGCGCATTACGTGCCTGGTGGCCCTTCAGGTCTCCTACCCATGGTAGTAGCCGGCTCACTTTGAGCCTGGTAAAAATAAAATCACCTAGGACAGGATCCTTCTGATCAATAAAAAATAGTCTCTCACTTGAAAACCGCATATATTATTCCATTTTCTCTTTCTTTTCGATCCTTTCATTCTTTGATCTCTCGATACAATCACCTCCAAGCTTTTAGGTCTAGCACATGTTCCTTCACCATTTTTGAGCCGTCATCCCATATTCTTTGGTCCCTCGGAAACGTATCACTTTTTGGCTACACTCATTTTTTCTGGTATTTTTTTGACCCGCTCAATCCTTACATTAGTCAAAACTGATTTTTATAGCAAGTCAAAAACTGACGATTAAGGAGTATACGACTACAGAAGGTAGTGAAGACTAAGGGACTGGAAGGAAGGGAACTAAAGGTTGGGAACTAAATACGGTATTTTAACCAAAATGTAAAGCAAATCAGAATTTGCTGTTTTAAAGGAGCCTTTTATGAGTGTTGATGAAGTTAACCAAGAGAATAAGATAACCCTGCAAACAGCTGCAACCTTTACTGCAGGCACCTCTGCGCAAAGATTTATCAGGTGCCAATGTAAAAAATCTTGCTCCACAAACCGGTGCCAGTACAACAAGAAAGGTATTTTATGTAACTGAAATGCCATGACAGCTCATCCTGTTGCAATAAATAAATAAAAAATACTTTCATTCAATTGTGCTTGACTAGACGGCGCTGCACCCCGTAAATACTTCAATTTTAACCGTATCTTCTTCTCATTAAGTATTGATTGCACTGCACTGCACAACAAATTTCGGGTTTTGGTTTGTCCTTCGAACTAAACCAATTTTTCTCGATTTCTAGGTGATACAGAAGTCCGAAAATGCCCGTAATAACTTCAGGAAAATTGTGGGGTGCTCAGGACGCCGCCATCTTGAATTTTTCATCATTGAGAAAACCCACGATCAGTTTTTTTTTAAAAATATATCTCCTCAACGGTTAATTTAACGAAAAATACAAAAAACCAGCAGAAAGAACATAAAAGTTCCTACCAAAATCACCCTCCCTTTCTTTTCCTAGCTTAATTTTTTGGTGGTAAAATGAATGTTTTCAATGAAATTAGCTGTATTACAGCTAATAAATACAGCTTAATAAATTAGCTGTTCAATGAAAGGAGCATTTTTGCTGATTTTTTTAGAAACTTTGGCTCATATTTCTAGCCGCTATTATCTGAGAAAAAAACTGTTGAGCTCATTGAAAAGAGCGTAAAATTTACTTTCAGAAAACAAGTAAAAAGTTTCAAAGCTTGGTTTAATCCTGTGAAACAGCAGTTTATTAACTCCACCCTCAAAATGTAATTTGGTCGACCATTTTCCTTACAACCAAGAAAAAAAAGAGAAAAAACCCTGAAAACGTGACCCGAACTGTGTAACAAGGTGGCAAAATAGTGCTGGATCCACACTTTTTTGCGTTGAAAACAAAACCAAAAAGCTCAAACATTTTGAGCGCCACTGAATACTAGTGCAAAACTTGCTGTCTTGCAGTCAGGGCCGAAGCATCGTATGAGCGAGCAGAGCAGTTGCCAGTTGCAAAGGGGTGCCGACAACATCCTTGCCTAAATGTTCTCGCAAGGGTCCTGCAGTTGCAGTACAAACTCCGATGCCGGCTTGGATTTTGCGGGATGTTAAGTTGGGCTCACTAACGAGTGTGATCTACTGACGAGGTCTAAAAAGACCCAAAATTATAGATCTCTCAGCATGATCTCAACTTGATATTCCATTGCAAATTGCCTGAGCTGAACGCTTTTCCCCCTCAGTTATGAACTGCCCTACTGGTGCCCATTAGAGCTCAAAATGTTCGACTCCAATTGAATATGTTTAACTTTTTGGTTTTGTTTTCCACGCCAAAAAGTCGGGATCCAGCACTATTTTGCCACCTTGTCACACAGTTTGGGTCACATTTTTAGGGTTTTTTTTCTCTTTTTTTCCTTGATTGTAAGGAAAATGGTCGATCAAATCACATTATGAGGGTGGAGCTAATAAACTGCTGGATTAAGCCAAGCTTTGAAACTTTTGACATGTTTTCTGAAAGTAAATTTTACACTCTTTTCAATGAGCTTAATAGTTTTTTTCTCAGATAATCGCGGCTAGAGATATGAGCCAAAGTTTCTCCAAAAAGCAGCAAAAATGCGCCTTTTTTCAGCTAATTTTAAGTGAAAACATTAATTTTACCACCAAAAAATTAGGCTAGGAAAAGAAAGTGAGGGTGATTTTGGTGGGAAATTTTATGTTCTTTCTGCTGGTTTTCTTGTTTTTTTCGTAAAATTAACCGTTGAGGAGATATATTAAAAAAACTGATCGTGGGTTTTCTCAATGTTGAAAAATTCAAAATGGCGGCACCCTGAGCACCAGATAATTTTCCTGAAGTTATTATGGGCACTTTCGGACTTCTATATCTGTAACGTTGCGAATCTCGAAAGCATCTCCCGCCCCGACTGCCTGCTTCCTCTCTTCCGGCCCTCGTCACTGCCGCGGCACCGCGACCTCGACGAGATACCGAGCGATAAACTTTAAACAACAAATCCAAAACAATGCCTCTTTTTTCTCATCATCACGGCCACCGTCACATATCACCAAGGAATCGAAAAAAATTAGTTTGGTTCCAAGGACAGAACCCATGTTGGGTGGTGTTATTTGTGCCTGACGTGGGGGCTCTACACACCTCCTAAAATACTAAGGTTTTAACTTCACTTCTATCGCCGGAAAATATTGAGCATGAACTTTTTGCACGTCAAAAGAAGTCATCCATTCATCATCACTCGCCAATCAGAGACTCCCTCACCAACGAGGACGTGAAGGTAAGCATTCATAGTTTCCTTCCTTCACTTTTGGGTTCTTACGGATGGCCCTATGTTGCAATTATGTAGTTTTAACTAAAATTATTCATAAAAACGACAACAAAATTTAATTCCAGCTGAATAAGAACCTTTTCTTTTACCAAACAGGTTTTTACCGTAGTTTTGCGTTTTAATGGTTTTTGGGTTTGAACTCTAACATACCCAGTAGCTTTGAGGCTATGCAGTATACATAATGCAAGTAATGCATAATGCATAATGCAAGTAATGCATAATGCAAGTAATGCATAATGCATAATGCAGTTTTCTTATTTTGAAGTAAACATAATTATGGTGCCGCGCCACCGGAAGATACTTGTTGAATGTTGCGAAAAAATAAAAAAACGTCTATCTACTGATATTACAAGACGCAACATAATCTGCTATACCTGTCAAGTGATTTTAAAAAAGTATTTTTCACTCCAGCCTGTGGTACCAAGTATCATTTCCTAAATTTTGAAAATTCGGTAGTCGTGGCACTCAGTAATTATGTCAAAGTTATCAGATGAAGTCTTTCATTTTGGTTGGCGTCAGGCTAAATAAGAGATATCAAAGCAGTCGTTCCTCAATGGTAAAGGCCTTTGTATACTTTTCCTCTCCAAATTTTGTACATTATTTAACATTCAGTTGTTCCAATTTTATGTCCTTTATTTAAGTTACAACATAAAAAAGCAATTTTCTTCCTTTTATTCTTCTTTCCAGAGAGAGTATTGGCATTTTCTTTCCAGCTAGGGCCATGAAAAGAAAATAATATTTGCGTACTTGTTTATAATTAACTAAAACCAAGGGTATTAGCTACTATTTGAAGAAAGTACATTCATAAAATAATAAAGTCTACTACAAAAATTTGCACCATTGATGAGAGAGGGGGTTGTGAAATAGACGGGGGGGGGGGGGGGGTAATTGAGTGTATTCCCTCTTTTCTCTTTTCATAGTCCTTTAAAAGAGGTCCTTTGAAGCAGCACAGTATTAAAATTCGTACATAAATAGACTCTGCCGGTGAGAGGAGGAGTGCCTGCCTGAATTAGAAACATTCGGAGTTGAGCCTGCATGAAATCAATACATTTTGAATTTTCTTTCATTTTCAAACCATAACTCTCGAAATTTTTTATCAGGCAGATTTCATTTGTATGCATAAGAGCTGACAAAATTCTGCGCTGGACGCTGAGAGTTTAAAGATTCTATGTCTATTATGGTCACTGCTACGATTTTTCAGATGTTGGGTGCAGCTTCCAGTTACAGGATTAAGTGCACTTACCTTAAAGGATCTTTCAAGCAATCGCAAACAGTACAGCGTGCAAGAAATATTGATGATCATGGAGGATCCTTAATAGTTTTATTTTGTAAAAAAGTACTTGTAAAACTAAAACGGATGAAGTATTAGGACTTGTCTTCCACACTGAAAGGGGGAGTATTGAAAGCTGGACTGTTCTGGTTAAATATTTGAAACAAAAAAGATCCAATACCTATTCAAATATATCAAAATCCAGTATAAGTCAAAACACTAAAGACACTCTCAAACCAATTATCTGGAGAAACTCGATGAACTGAGCAGGATTGAATGATACCAACCAGCAAATTGTCTACTCATACTCCTCATTGACACTCATGGGATCCTAAAGAAGTCTCTGATGGAATTTAGTTCGAAATGGTTAAAAGCTAAGAATGGCTACATTTAGATAGAGTCCAGTGCACATTTAATTATTGATCTTAAGCCCTGCATAGACGATCAAATTCCGATCAAAGTAGACATGCCGATGACTGGTGGTCACCATCTACCATCTTTTGACGGGCCGCACTTTTTCGTTAAAAGTAAGATCAGAACGGAGTGCCACCATTCATCATTTCCTGCCATAGGGAACATTTCTGCCAAGTTTTCATTTTAAAATGAAGTGAATTAATGAGTTTAAGACTGATGACTCCCGACACTTTGATGCTACTTTGATCGGAATTGGTTCGGGAATTTGATCGTCTATCGAGGCCTTTATGGAATTCTGTTTGAAATAATTACAAACCTAAGAATTGCAACATTTGGATAGAGTCCAGCACAAATTATGGATCTGATCAAGGCATAATTATTAGCATTTATGTTTGCAGCTGAGGCTTTCATATCGTTACAGTCCAAGAATCCAATCTGAGATAAATGTTCTGCGAACTGGGCTTTCATTTCTTTCAGCTGAACTAAAATTGGACGGGACAGGAAGAACTCATTACAGAATTGCCAGCCTCGACCCCTTTTCTCTGCATCCTCCCAGCCTCTCATTGCTTCTGCTAGTAACAAATGATCACTTTTCATTCCTTTGGCCAATTCCATTTTCTTCTCATCAACCATCTTTTCTTTGCCCTGTGTGCAAAAAAAATAAGAAAATACAAAAATGACTGCATTTCTTATGGGATCATCAATTTTATCATGAGTTGATAAGCATGTTTGGAAAGGTGACGATACTTCAGGTTACACTTATTTCCTGCTGGTCCTCATCAAGATTATCAAAATTTCATTCTAGATAAATCAATCAAAAAAGGAATTCTTTACATGAAATTGTTTTCCCAGTTTTGAGTTACATTGGTACATTTTTTCAAAGAAACATACATGAAGGAAATGAAGGAGAACATTCACTTGCAAATCCCGATTTGTGATAGTTTTGGGTTGTTCAAGCAAAATGCAACACACCAACAGGATAACGGGAGATCTCGGGAAGTACTACACTCCTGTTCAAAACTTTACAAAAACGCAATGGGGACAAGGGCAGCAAGCAACGAGGGCAGACAGGAGATAAAAAATATTGAGAAAAAGCTTAATTTAGCATAAGGTAAATTAGCATAACTAGGGCTACTTTCCTGGCCTATTCATATTCAAAACAAATGTAACTTAGCAAAGGTTTTTTGTAACTTTGAACCACAAAAAAAAAAATGGGAATAATCGAGGGAGCATTTTCAAAAATTGTTTGAGCTTATGGGTAAAAACTGAAATAATCCATCAACTAGCTGTGCTTGAATCATGCAAGCTTCAGCCACAGACTTTATCAAAATTAGAGGCTACCTTTGTTAGGCCTTGTGAGTCATTTTAGTCATTGGCTTGTGCTCCTCCTCTGTTGGAAGTTGCAAAACCTCCTAAGTAAGGCAAATTTAACACTTACGATCGGAGTATAAAATGCATCTTTGAAACTCAAACTTGCAGCAATGGTGAAGATGGGATCAATGCAGCAAAATATGGCACCCATGAGAATCATTTTTCCAGTTTGAGGATCCATTGGAAGCTTTGCTAAATGGAATCCAAGAGGAGTTAGATTTTCATAACTATCCAATGCTCCTAATTTTTCTAAAAGCTGAAATCAAATTCACACACAAGAGCTCATTACATTCTTATTCAGTAGATAAATTTGATGGCAAGTAACCTGCATGCATGCACACTAGGGTGGAGCGTGTGAACCAAAATTCAAGGAATCAAAATACCTTGCTTGCTTTTTATTGACCCTTGGTAACCTTAGAAGTGGTTTATCGTAGAAAACAAAAAATGTAGAAAATGAATAAATAAATTGATCATTCCTACATAATAACCTCGTGGGGCTGTAGTACAGGTTTGCACAGGGAAGAGACAAGAAATAAAAGAGTTCACAATTATGACAAGGGAACTGTGGATAATAAAAGAAAGTAAAAGATCCCTTTTCGCGTTTCGCATTTCTCAGCACTTACTACTATTCAGCTACCATGCACCATTCACCATGCATTGTACCATGTTCAATTGTTAGATGTTATCAAAGCAGATGCATTTGAGCTTCAATTTGCCCAAATAGAATAATAGGGTAATTTTCTGCTGTTTCTATTTCTGTCACACGAGTTTTTCTGGTACACATGTAATTCAACTGAGTTCAGGTAAATTTTTTTTGATGCAGAATAACCTTCTGCGTCAGACACATACTCGGAAAACATCATAAGCCCGCATCATTCGATCAAAGTAGACATCTTAAAGTGGCGTCACGTTGGGTCACGTGACCTTCGAAGATTGTGGGGCTGAGAATCTTTGAGAGAAATGGAGGGTAAAGTGACCCCACGGGACGCCACTTTGAGAGCTCTACTTTGATCATATGATATGATACGGGCTATAGAACTAAATCCCTGTTGTCTAGCAGGCAGAGAGGGGCAGAAAATTTTAACTCTGTCCTTGTCACACAACTGAGGTTCCACAATTCAAAGGGCCGCGATGTGCTAAAAACCGAATCTAATACCTACTTAAACTTGACATTTTTAGAATGCACGGATTTTCTACTTTTTATTTCTTTACTCAGTTTTAAGAATACAGACAATATTCCAGTCATGAGATGGAGCAGAGGGCATGTCACAAGGTTTTTGCCTCAACTCCATCCCCCTACTTTTTGCTTCGTATAGGAGCCACCAGGGAGGCTGTTCGTAGGAAAAAAGTTTTTGTTGTTATTCAGTGTTATCCTCTAACCACACTTGATATGCGCCACTGTTGTTATAACAGACAAAAATGTTATAAGGTATTTTTTTTAAATTTAAACTTTAAAATTATCCTTAACCCATCAACTCTGTTCCTGCATCATTAAAAACCGGCGCT